CATATACCGTGGGGAACTGCCTAAATTTGTCACTATAAGCAGGTGGTCTTTATACACAGGTTGCTCATATACCGTGGGGAACTGCCTAAATTGGTCACTATAGGCAGGTGGTCTTTATATACAGGTTGCTCATATACCTTGGAACTGCCTAATTTGTCACTATAGGCAGGTGGTCTTTAAAGGCTCAATTCACTTGCCCCGGGCTAGGCTAATGAGTGTTAATCACTTGCATAGCCTATGACGAATCCTGTTTCAGCAGTCCAACATCACGTGACTTTGATTGACAGTAGTTAATTATTCGAGATTAGTAGCGCGTCCCTTTCCCCGGTTCGTGTTTTTGACTTTTATTCGCCAAAATCTCAGCTTGTACACTATTTATTGTCATAAATACTACACACAGTCACTGCTATGGTATTCATAGTCACATGCATCCACTTTGGCACAACATAATCGACCTGTAAGTTTGAGAAAACATGTCTTTACCGGAGCTTGGCTGGAGCTGTTTACTACATTGTGACAAGCAAGGAAATAATCCCTATTGTTTAGGAGCGTATTTATAGTATACCTGGGCCTTTAAACACAGGTTGCTCATTTACCGTGGAACTGCCAAAATTGTCACTATAGACAGGTGGTCTTCATACACAGGTTGCTCATATACTTTGGAACTGCCAAAATTGTCACTATAGACAGGTGGTCTTTATACACAGGTTGCTCATATACCTTGGAACTGCCTAAACCGGTCACTATAGGGCAGGTGGTCTTCATACACAGATTGCTCACATATGTACCTTGGAACTGCCTAAATTGGTCACTATAGACAGGTGGTCTTCATACACAGGTTGCTCATATACCGTGGAACTGACAAAATTGTCACTATAGACAGGTGGTCTTCATACATAGATTGCTCATATACCTTGGAACTGCCTAAATTGGTCACTATAGGCAGGTGGTCTTTATACACAGGTTGCTCATATACCGTGGAACTGCCTAAATTGGTCACTATAGGCAGGTGGTCTTTATACACAGATTGCTCATATACCTTGGAACTGCCTAAATTTGTCACTATAGACAGGTGGTCTTTATACACAGATTGCTCATATACCGTTGAACTGCCTAAATTGGTCACTATAGGCAGGTGGTCTTTATACACAGATTGCTCATATACCTTGGAAATTTTCACTATTTTCGCTGAAGGGATGATTCAGTGAAAATAAAATCCAGCGAATATACCATTTTTTCTATATTTTACATTCAACTCATCAAAAATCAGTGAAAATAAATTCCATACAAAACACCCAAAGTCTTTTCAGCGAAAATTAATTCCAGCTAAAATAAAGTATTTTACAGTAACTTGAGACTGCCTAAAAGTGGCAGGTGGTCTTTATAGGTTTGACTGTATAACTTACTTGGTGGGGTTGAAGGTAAAGGTGGGACTGTTCCATTCAAACGTTCATTACACATGTGGGTGTCACAGCACAAGACAACATTAAAGATTGGTTCACAAACTAATGGCCTATCTGGCGGATGAAGAACCTGTTTAGACATGCATCGAGTAAGAGTCTCGATTTCTTTGGACTCAGTTCGTCTCTTCTCAATGTAGCATACGCCATCTGTTTCACAGGTGTAATTGCTGGATTTACAGACGCTACAACTACATAGCAGACCTAAAATGAAAGGAGAAATAATTATTATTTCATTTATTTTACTATGTTTTTTGCTGTGTATATCATGACATTTCAACAGAGAAGCATTGCTTTACGCATGTACACGATCATACCCATAATACAGTATTTGCTCTGTTAGAAATGCATTTATCAAATACAACTTGTGTTCTCACTAAAAATTAAATACATGGAATGGAAATGTTCCATCAGTTTATAAATTACTCATCCATGTGGAACTAGAGACAGAAATGAAATATTTTGGTTTCCTTGGAGACAGTGTACTTAAATGTTCATTATGTTTGAAATTTATTCTACACTTATGAACTGTTTTTTTACATTTTTGTAAGGCAATTTGGCCCACGAGAGTAAAAAAACCTGGGACAAAAAATTAAACCATGAGGCAAATGTTTTATACCTCATATCTGGTGAGAACACTGCAACTTATTTTGACAAAAATATGCTATACAATATGCTATTACCGGTAATAGAGCAAATATGGAAGCTATACATGATCTCAAGTTATTATTCCTCCATGAATCCAAAAAACATTAATAACACGAATAAATGGCTCCAGTTTGTATAATGTCTGCCATAATAATTAATAATATGACATGTCCTCTGCTTGCCATCTTGCAAGAACTGTAGGTCTCATGCCACTAATTAGTGTATCAGCGTTCATAGCCCTCAAAGCCAATAGGTTTTCTTTCACCATGTTTTATCTGAAAAGTGGTGTATGAGGGTGTAATTCAATTATGTCAGCTGTGTGTAGCATTGTTTATTGACAAGTACCGGTGACCTGTGGATCAGGGCAATTTTCAATTAGACACTTCAAAACTGGCTGCTTTTCTGTGAATATTGAAAGCCTGTCGCGAACATTAATATTGTTATTAATTTCAAAGTTATTATTGTTATATTCAATGTTACGGTGATACTGCCGATATCCAAGTGAAATGCATAAATTATGTTAATTAGGGTCAGTCTACGTCCGCACGTGGTCGGTATTGACCAATCAGTGTTTGTTTACTTCTGCTCGCGTGCAGTTCAATTTCTGTTTATTTACCGCGTTCCTGTTCCAGACGACATTTTTCTTATCGCTGTATTTTTACTGGAGTCATTTTGAAATAAATGGTATACAGGTTGTGATTGTAATATTCATCGGAAAACCTAAGCGAGTCTGTATTTCTGTGACGCTATTCGCAAAGCCTGACAAATTAAAACAATATTTTGATTTTTGTAACCCTTTATTTTTTGGAGAAATTCACCCAAACACTAACATTGTCATCTATGGAGTTCTTAATACTGCTATGAACACCACTATGCTGATGTAATCTACCATCATACTAACTTTACATTGAAAAGTAACCAACAGGGACTGTGTCATTTTCAATTTTGAAAATCTCCAACATAGTTTAAGGTCTGAATGATCAAGAGAAAGTTATATGCAAGTAAAAACAAAACTAACATACATGTACTAATTAATGCTACAAAGCTGTTTTGCAAAAACCTTAAACTTGTACCCAGTAAACTACGGTACTTTAATTTCATGAGACAAATTCTTCATGAATTTCGTCATTCAGTGAAAATAAAAAAATGTGGCAGCAGTGAAAATTTGTCTGGGGTCCTACATCATGGAATATCAACATATTGTTTTCACAATAGAAATGTGAAAATTCCTGGCAGCCAAAATTACCGGTAAACAGTTTACAATATTATTGAAAGACCAAGAAAATTACATTTAAATTCAAATTCAGCCTCTTCATGTAATTCAATAATTGAATTTACCATACAAAATGTAAATAAACAAGTCATTGAAAATGACACAGTCCCCGTAAAATTTTTGAAAGTTCTCTTTGTGCTCGTCATATTAAAGCGGAGGGGTTGTCGCGAGCGTGTCCTTGAAACTTGAGTTCCAAGTGGCGTATACAACAGATTGTTTATTTACATCAAAACACGTGTTCCATGTAGTAGTAATATGGCCAAAAATAAAAACAGCCGTTATTCGGCCGTTTTTGATCTGATTATGAAACACACTGATATGTATGATGTATGTGCCAAATACGAATGAAAATGGTACATAAATTGTGGAAATATAGTAGTAAGGCCAAAAAGTCAGATGGCTGACAATCAGCCATCCTTGACCAGATTTTGAAACAAATTGTCATGGTAATGCATCCTATATTAAACATGTATGAAGTACATGTATGTGCCAAATTTGAATGAAAACTGACAGAGCACGTCCAAGATATCGCATAAAAAAACAAAAACAAGATGCCTGCCAGTCGGCCATCTTTGATCCAATTGTGAAATAAATTGTCATGGACATGTATCCTAACATGTATAATCTATGTACCAAGTTTGAATGAAAAATGACAAAGCATGTCCAAAATACAACATTTTCAAAAAACAAGATGGCTGCCAGTCGGCTATTTTGAATTGAATCACTAAACCACTGCATGTGCATATGTCCCACATAAGGTACTAGGCACATGCAAAGAATGAACGGAATTGGTCCACAGGATTCTGAAATATGACTCTGGACATACTGACGTACGGACGGACGGACAGGCTCAGGAACTCACGGACGGTCGGGACATGTATCCTAACATGTATGATCTACATACTAAATTTGAATGAAAACTGACAAAGCATGTCCAAAATACGACATTTTCAAAAAACAAGATGGCTGCCAGTCGGCCATCTTTGATCCAATTGTGAAATAAATCGTCATGGACATGTATCCTAACATGTATAATCTATGTACCAAGTTTGAATGAAAACTGACAAAGCATGTCCAAAATACAACATTTTCAAAAAACAAGATGGCTGCCAGTCGGCCATTTTAAATCGAATCGCTAAACCACTGCATGTGCATATGTCCCACATAAAGTACTAGGCACATGCAAAGAATGAACGGAATCGGTCCAAGGGATTCTGAGATACAACTCCGGACGGACGCACAGACGGAGAGCGAATTATAAGTCCCCGTTTTCAGACTTCGTCCGAACGGGGACTAATAATTTATAAACGAGTCGAAGAATAAACAAAGACTTAGACTATATTGTCTTACTACAATGGACTGCTATGTGAGCCAAACAATGCCATTCCCTTATACATGTACATGTAGCAAGGCATGAAATTACCTGTAGCAATAGTCCAATGCATAAATACATGTACCAACTCTGATCCAAGGCTACCATTTTTGTTAACATAGTATCAAAGATGAATACCGTAAATCACTTTAATTTGACTTTGAATTAATACCTTTTTTCCTATACTTTACATTCAACTCATAAAAAAAAAATAAGTGAATAACTAACAATGTGAAATTTATTTTCACCTAAAATAATTTTTCGGTGTTTTGTATGGAATTTATTTTCACTTATTTCTGACGAGTTGAATGCAAAATATAGGAAAAAAGGTATATTCGCTGGATTTTATTTTCACTAAATCATTCCTGCAGCGAAAATAGCGAAAATTAATTCCAAGCAAAAATAAAGTATTTTACAGTAAATAAAATTCATAAAAAACAGGCCAAATGTGAAAATTCAGTGAAAATGAATACGAAAATACAGTCCACAAGAAATTTAGAAAAAAACACTTTCCTTTTACATTAACCAGCATGTGTCAAAAGCTTTTGCTATCCTACGCAAATTAATTCAACATGCAGTGTATGACATTTACTTATAGTGTTCATATTTTCTTGTATGGCTGTCACTACCCACACATATTACACCTGATGGATTAAACCGATATTACTATGGGACTACTCGCTCTTAAATTCGGTAGCCCACCAATCTTCAAAGAAATTCCCAGCCCCACATAAAATTTAACTTTATATAACCTTTTCAAATTTGTTAAACATAATTATTTATAAGTTAAATCGGTCAGACATGCCCTAACGAAGACTGAGACACATATTGTATTTTAAATTAAAACATTTTATATTTTTAATAACATTCTATTCTTTTTTTTATATTTTTTTTTCAATGTCTGAAAATATGACGTCTTTCAGTGCATCATCTTCACTATTCTATGAGATGTAATCGCCATGGTAACACAACAGGTAAAGTCACCTTGAACTTTCTGTGACACTAAGCAGATCATGTGATGTCTACTGCTTATGTTAGTTTCAAATCTGACCTAAGTTTGAACTAAAGCAGGTCAAAACGTTGTACTATTTTCTTTCTGGTCACAATGGCATTCATATTGCCGTGATTCAGTCGTCTCAAAATGAGTTTTGGCTATTTTGTTCAAAATAGCCACTAGCCAATGAGATATTTCTAAATACTGTAATATACATTATTTTAGCTGAAATTAATTAATTTATGAAATAATTCATAAAACATTGGGGAAAATGAAATGCAACGAAAATAGTAAACAAATAAATGCCCAAAATAAACTTGTAGGGCATTTAAAAATATTTTAGAAATTTAGTTAACACGGAAAACGTAAAGTAGCAAGAACAACTATGTAAATTTCTGACAAACAATCACAATCTAAATATCTAAAATTCAAACCACTATCTTAATATCAATATGTGTGTCAATAAATATTATATTTATTTATTTTCAGTTACGTATATTAATAAGGAAGGCATCACAATCTTTTCGATTGGTTCGTATATCCCGAAAATCGACATGGTAAAATTACAACAATCGTACAGCTCAGTACCATAACAAATATTAATTTACGGCAGACGTACTTCTCGGTACATAAAATTCAAAGTAATCCCCAATGCGTCTCATTTGTTACTGCGTATAAATTGACACTATCTGGGGCACGTCGCATGCAATGAGTACGGTACCAACCAAAAATACACACAGGACATTTTAAGTGGCTCGAAACAAAACCTATTCGCTAATTTCAGTTTCCAAAACATCTACGACGGCTTAAAACCCTGCAGCCCGTCCCGCATGTTTTTTTTTACCAGGCAGGAGACACCGGTCAGCGTGGCGTTGCCCCAGTGGTTTCCACTGTGCATCCAGGAGTTAATGCCGACA